AAAAAAAAAAAAAAGAAACAGATAAAGAAATGTACAACAGAACCAAAGAATTTTTCAAACAAAAACAGCAAAGTTGACAACCACATTTTTTCCACCATTTTTAAGGTGCAATTTACTGTAATTCCTTTTCCTATTTGCATTCCATTTTTGTTTTTTTTTTTTTTTCGACGTAATCGTTAAGTGATTATAAAAAAAAAAAGCAGAAAAAATTTGTGAAATAGCTTTATACATGTATATATTTTTTGCCCACTAAAAACAGTTTTGTTTCAACATAACACAGATGTAAAACAAAATGTACAGTGAAAAAGAATAACTGTGAAGAAATTTTATAAAGTTATCAACAATAAATACATTAAAATTTCCAACTCTCTTTTTTCGACTTCTTTTTTTGCCATTTTCATCATTTGTCTAATTCACCAAATGAATATAAATCTTACGGAATTTTTGTTGCAATCATACGACGACTGTTTTCTGATAAATTGTTGATGATTCTAATAAACTTTAAAGAATTCTGGATAATTTGTTGACAGATAAAGGTGCTTTTTTGAACACTTACGTATCATTATGCATACTGAATTGTACGCTGATTTTATTAGCCGACAAAAAAAAAAATGGGGTGCTTACTGCAACAAAGCATAGAGAGAACAAAAAAAAAAGAAAAGAAGAACACTTTTTTCTGTTTTTATCTTAAATCTTTGTTCACTTAATAATGAAAAAATAAAAAGACAAAGTTCTTTCTGAAAAAAAAAAAAAAACAATAATATTTATCATTAACAAAAATAAAATCACAAAAAAAAAAGAAAACAGAAACAGTGAGAAATTAAAAACGCAGAAATCTATGAACGAATTTGTTCCGATGATACAGTAACGTTATGCAACTTTTTCAAATGTTTCTTGAGATCAAAATTTCGACAGAATCCTTTTGCACAAACTGAGCAGACAAACGGTTTTTGTTCCCGATGTGTGTGCATATGAAAGGTTAAATTATATGTTTGATGGAAAGCCTTATTGCAAATTTCGCACTTAAATCGTTTTTCGCCGCTGTGTGTCAATTTATGATTTTTATAGTTGCCATTCTGATGAAATCCTTTGCCACACAATTCGCATATATATGGCTTATAACCTGAAAAAAAAAAAAAAAAAA